GTTGAAGAACTCATTCATGTGTCCATTCATGTGGTCTCCTCGAGGGATCTTTTTTCTCCTTTTTCCTTTATTTATTACTGTGTCCAAAAATGTGTGGCTTCTTGAAGGTGGAGAAGTGGTCTTGCTTTCTTTGCTAGTAGAAAATGATTGCTATGAAAATGTTGCTATTCTCAGCGGGTATTTGGTTTAGCACTAACAGCACTTTTCTTCCAAAGCACAGTTTTGTGATGATGGTAAAGGATTGGATCTTGTATTTCTTCTTCTATCCCTTTCTCTGTAGGAGTTTTGGCTGTTGGGCTTATCAGCGAGGCGCTGGATGAAGGAGACACCAGAAAAACTCTGCAAGCCTTACAGATTCCTGCAGCAAACCTGGAGGGTGTAACCCCACAGGTAGGTCAGCATTATCAGGGCACACTGCTTCGGGCTAAGAGAGAGAAAGCACAGGTGGGTGTAGTTAAAAGTACCTGTCAAGAAGCCTTTGCATCTGTGTACTGAGGGCATTCCTGATGTTGGGAGAAAAGCTGGGAAACAGATCTGGAAATGAAAGGGTGAACGCTGCATGCTATCAGCTGATGTTACCTGGCCAGTTTGGATCTGTCTGTATGAAGGAAAGAGAGATGCAGGCATAACACGTGAATCTTGGTGAACTACAGAGATGGGCTTCAAGATATGAACTGCTGGAGATGGATTGCTCTAGCTAATCGTACGTCCAGAGTGGCAGACGTACCTTCTTTTTGGAGATATGGGGAGATGTGTTCAGTGTCATTTGTTTTTATAAGAAGGCAGTGTTTATCCTAATAGCTGTGAATTTCCAAATGCAAGTCTCGTTCAGTCTCCTTTTCTTAGTGCTATTTGTTAAATGTATCCATAGGTGTAGTTACATAAAGCAAAAATGAGGTTTGAGAAATAGGAAAAAAAACTTGTTAGGTGATGAATTTGTTCAGAAGGAGGGGAAAATAGAAAACAAAATATATGCTTCTAGCAAGATGTGTATGAATGCCTGTCACTCGCTAGGTGACACTGCAGATGCTATGCATTTTGTGCATGGTGGTTGTCTGTTGTGGTAGCCCAGGACTTCTCCTGACTTAGATGGAGTTGCCTCTTTGTGTAACTGGTCTGTATGTACAGGTGAAAATGGAGAGAGGAAGAATGATCTCACCTTACTGGCTTAGGAAGGAAGATGAAACGCTGTATGGGTGGTGTTTGGTTGCCCTGCCTCGGGCAGGGGGTTGGGGATTCGTGATCCTTGAGGTCCCTTCCAACCCTGTGATTCTGTGGTGTACATGCTACTGATTTTTTTTTTTTAACAGATGAGTGGGATGCTATTTTATTTCCTTATGCTTACACAGAAGTAGCAGATGTGCTTCCTTTCAGTTGCCTAAGCGTGTTTAATTTCTTTTTGTACTATCTTTTCAGTTGTGGAGCTCATTGTTCTAATTCCAGCAGGGATTTTAGCATAGAGACTGAGATGATATTGTGTTCAACATGGGTGTTTTTTAGTATGTTTGTTTGCTTTGTTTTTTTTGACTAAGTGTAAACCTTCACGATGGCAGTGTCCGAAAACTGCGCTGGTGATGAAGATCACTGAGCAGCTTCCTCAGTGGCCCTGAAAGGGTTCTTGTTCCTCAGGAACCCATTTTTGCTGAAGCATTTCCTCCTACTGAGTGAGAATGAAATAAGGAGTTGTTCTTGGTGTGCACGTAAGCTTCTGCCAGGCTGGATTGGTGACTTCAGTTGACGTGAAATTACCTCATTGAGGCATATGTTCAATGTGGGGCTCCTCCCTGCAACGTGGCAGCAATTTCAGAGATGGTGAGATCGTGGTACAGACCAGCACTGTGGGTAGAACAGTTGCTGTCCTGAGTCAACGTGCTTACTAGCTGGTGACTTGTGTAGCTTGGGACTGAGAGGGATTGCAGTTCAGCACAAGGCAGGGGATCTGGCGTATGATGCGATTTCTCACGTGATGAGCAGTGAGAGAAGTGTTAACCCTGCAGTGTGTGACAGCGCGTGTCCCTGCTGGGGGACTGTGACAGTAAATGCACGGGAAAGATCAGACGGCTTTGACAGTCCTGGGATTGATGACTGTGCTGGTAGAGATGGCAGTGCAAGAGTTTGTTCTTCTAAGTCTGCCACCCTTCCCAACAGGAATTTCTACATTGCTGAAGCAGTCATGGGACTCCTTGGACATTCCGATAAGACTTGTTAAAGGGATGTAGGTTTCAATCCAAAGCAGTGGTAACGTGGAGGGTATGTAAGGAAATGTCAATTGTCAGTCCTGCCACAGAACTCTTCATGCTGGAATATAGTGGCTCTTTGTGCAGGGTGATTATTAATCATCAGGGGTTGTTGGAGGGATGGCAATTGCTTCTTCAGATCTCCTTCCATAGTAACCCCCAGGAAGCAACAGTGGGGGTGGAGGAGCTGTGCTTGGCAGCTGCTGGACTATTGTTCATTATGTGTATTTTGGGGTTTGCTAAACACTTGTCTCTTGGACAATTTCGGCGTGTAACATTATTTAATGAGTTTCTTCAGCCAAAACATAAGATACAGTGTGGTCAGTACTCCACAGCAAATGGTCTGTTAAAAGAGAGACTTGAGAGATGCTTTTACTGTTGTACATTTGTATTTACCCCCAGTACATGCAGTGCTTTTTGATTTGCTGGTACAGAAATCTGCAAAGCTTAGTGGACGGGACAAGAGCAGCCTGCTGTTGTGTTAGTTCCCCCTCAGCTTTTGGTGCTGCTCCTGTATGTGCATTTCCACTTCATGAAGTTTCCCTGAACAACTCCTTGCAGCCTGGTACTGGGAAAGGACTCTTGTTAGTCTCTGTTTGTGTCCACCTCAGCGGAACAAAGCTTTTCAGGAAAAGTGCTAGGAGTGCTGGTAGGCAGACAGCCAGGTGGCTGTGAGTGGGCAGTGTGCTCGTGCTGCCTGGAAGGCTTCAGTAGAGAGGTGATCCTTGCACTTGGCACTGGTGAGGCTGCTCGTGTACTGTGTCCAGTTCTGCCCTGCCCCCCCAGACAGGAGACATGAGTGTACTGGAGATAGGCCAGCATAGGGCCACTGAGGTGCCTGAGGGACTGGAACAGCTCTCCAGAGAGGAAAGCTGAGGGGGAGGAGACTCTTTAGTCCAGAGATGAGAGGGCTTGGTGGGAATCCCTTCAGTGAATGTGAAAGCTGGAAGTGAGGATGCAGTTGAGGACAAGAGGCATTGAGTACAAACTGGGGTTCGAGAGGTTCCATCTAAACGTCAGGCAGCACTTTGCAGTGGAGGTAACTGAGCAGTAGCGGAGGTCGACCAGAGAGGGACTGGAGTCTTTTCTTTGGAGTTGTTCAGAAGCCATCTGGATCTGGTCTGTCCTGGATAATGTGCTCTCGGTGTCCCTGCTGGAGCAAGGGGGTTGTACCAGATGAGCTCAGAGGTCCCTTTCCATCTTAAATTGTTCCATGATTTTCTTTTTTGGGCTCCTTGGAAAGGCACGTCCTATTGGCAGATACAGCTTTAGGACTGAGCAGTGCAGATTGCTTGGCGTTGGGATATCTTGATGTTTGTTGGAGTGATACCACTGCTGGAACTCTTGGTGGGAGTTCCTTGTCCTGAGATGAGTTTTGGCCTGGTAATGCTGTAGTTGCTTCTGCTAGTAACAAATGTCCGTTATGGCCTTGTGTTGAAATTGATTAGAAAGACATTGAAGTGCTTCCTGTATCCCTTGAAACTGCAATTGCTCAGAGGTGGTGGTTTTGTTTTGCACAACCAGTGACACTCTTTTCCTCATGCTGCGAATGCTTTCCTCATCATATTCTCTTCAGGACACTCAGGATGAAACAGCTGTGCCTTGGCTCGAGCAAGAAATGTACACATGCAAAGGAAATTAAAATACAAGTGTTTGCTTCAGGTAGGTGTAGAAGTTTTTTCTTTCAACAATGAATGTCACAGCCTTTAAACTTCAATTCTTTAAATCTTTTTGGAAGGATATGTCATTTCAGTTGTGCTTGTGACTGTGTTACATCCTAGGCAGAGATACCTATTGAATGTCTGTCCGAGTGTTTGACATTAGCAGATCACTGTGTCTGTCTGTGGTTGGGTAGTCAACCCAATAGAGGATGTTCATGTGCACAGTTGTGGTGCATCTTAGCTTTCATTTGTGTTGTACTGTTGCCTGAATTCTATGAAGTATTTCTCAAAGTACTTTTTATTTTATTTTATTTTTTTTGCACTAAGTGCAGATAACAACACAAATCAGTGCAGTTGGCAGGTGGACTGTGCCAAAGAACATTTGGTCAAAAGCAGGATTAAAGTCTGTTTCTTTGAGCCTGAATAAGATGTTCTGATACCCTTCTACCTCTGTGTGTGCGAACAGACATTTGCTCAGTGCTGAAAATGACTGTGTCTCGTGTTTACTGCTTCGGTGAGATACCTGTGGTTGATTTTGTACTGTGTTTGCAACAGAGTTCTGGAGTAGCCCTGGGTTAGCTCTTTCCTCATCTTGTTCTTGTTGATAACCTGTTCTGTGTTCAGGTTGCTATTCTTGCTAGGAACGGTGCAGTCACTGGAAAGGTGCTTTTTGAGTCAGTTGTCTGCTGTAGCAGGGCTCTGCAAGAAGAAGCTGCCTGGACTACAGCTGTTGTCAGAGTACAGCTGAGTGAATGGATAAAAGGTTGTAGAGAAGTACTGTTGATAAATCAGCACCATGGTAGGACTAAGAGCACAAAAAAAAGCGCTGTCAGACACTGTGCCATACACAGATGCACACTGTACTGAAAAGGTTGTTGTACACCAAGTTGTCTTTTTTTAATCAGTACTTTTGTGCATAACTACAGGAAAGTATTTGTGTACACTGGCACAGTGCCTTGCTCTCTTAAGTCTGTTGTGAGCCACTGAGCTCCTGACTGCGCAGGTAACCTGCCCTCTCCTGTTGTTGAAGTTTCCTTAGGCATTCTGGCCGTGAATGCAGCAGTCGGTCACGGAGATACCAGCCCTACCTTGAGTGCCTTGTGCTCACCAGATGTGGGGCTGTACGGAGTCGCTGCAGAGTGTGCAGAGACATACCAGCGAGAGTTGGCAGAAGTCGAAAGGAGAAAAGTGGCCACAGGTGAACCCCAATAGCTACCAGCTAGTGCAGTAAATTCAAGATGATTGCCTGTAGAATGGAAAGCAGAGGGGGAGAAATGTGAGGAGCAGTCTTGCGTTCTGGGTATCTTGTTAGAATCTCATGTTATAGGAAATTGAGGCTGCCTTGTAAACTGAAGTCTTTGTTAAAGGAAAGAAAAAAAAGGTAGGAAGGAAATGAAAAAGGTAGCAGTGAAATATTCCCCACTTGTAGAATATATTGTGCTTAGGTAGTTCTTGTGGTGGTTTGTTGGAATCTGCGGCCTTCCTTCTATTGCTTGGAGGAAGGGCCCTCTCCATGCTTTTCCTTCTTGTAGTATTTGTATGTGAGGAAGATAGACACGTGTTTGCTTTCAACATAGCAGCATTTCTGCTTTCAGGAGGCAGTGGCAGTGAACGGGTGAAACACTGGGTGAGAGGAGGCTGTCATCATTATCATAACGTGAGGACCAGAGAGGGAGGATGGGATGAGCCGACGGAATTTGTGCAGAATGACACACAGCTGTCACGGGAGGAGATGCAGGTAAAGTACGTGCTCTTTTCCTCTGAAGTTGAAGTTGCCCCTATTTCAGGCCTTATTGCAACTTTCAGAAGTAATGTTTCCCACAGTAGTAAAGTTAGCAAGCTTTGTATCTTATTTCACTGCTCACTGTCTACTTTGCACGTCAGCACCTCTCTGTCCTATTGTGGAGAATGTGCACACGTTGATCACCAGAACAAGACGGTGGTGCTGCTGCTCACCGAAAAGCAACTTGTAAGTTTCTCTTGAGCAGAACACAGAAGCCGCTGTGTAACATGTCATTTTTGCATCTCCCTTTTCTCTTCCTGGCTCTTCTTCCTACCATAACACTAATCTAGAGCACTGTATCTGGAGTCACGGCAGCATACGAGCGAGAGCAGTTGTGGCTGGCCAAAGAGAACCTGATGGTGAAGCTTCAGGCACGTTGTCGAGGCTGTCTTGTCTGTCAGGAATTCAACTCCAGAATGAGGTTTTTGAAGAAGCAAGTTCCAGCCATCACTTGCATGCATCACTGATTCTGTTAGAAGCTTGTACTTGTCAGTTGCTCTCCACACGCACGCTTACTGACTGGTTTTGTTCAAGTCAAGCAGTTGCCACACACAATTATCTTCATTTTGCAAAGTATTGGAAGGCTTTTCCTTCTCCCTGGGAATCACTATGTATAAATTACTTCTCTCCCTCTTCCCATTAGTCCGTGGGTTTGGAGAATTGAAGATGGCATTGAGAATTGTGCAATGGATGGTGCTTTTGGTTGTTTAGTTTTAGTCATTTGTTCTCTAGCTGTGTTTTGCCCTTGGTGGGGGGTGCTGCTAAGTCCCTCACAACGACAGCTGGTGGTGGAAGAAATAGTTAAGGCTTCACTGCATATCTCTTACGGCATGTCTTGTAAGATGAGCATGTCTCTGTTACATTTTATTCAGCCAAAGGGAAGTGGAAACTGAGCAGCAGAAAGAAGCATAGAGTAGTAAATTACTGCTCTTCACTTTGAAAAGTCGCCTTTTTTCTTGTGTGTGTTTTCAGTCCCAGTGGCGTGGCTATAAACAGAGGAAAGCAAATCAAATCCATTTGGATTACTGATGAGCACACAAGGACAAAGAAGTGAAGGTAGCAAATGCTATGGTTTTGGGTTTTTTTTTTTTTTTTTTTCTTCAACATTTTTGGTAGCAATATTTGTGGAGAAGACTTTTATCTGCCCTGCTTTGGGATTCTTTCCTATAGATTCAGTCACTGGCCAGGATGTATCAAGGCAGAAGGCGTTACAGAGATCACCTGCAATATTTCAGAGACCACGTAAGAGATTGTGAAATGAATTCAGTGTCTGACACTTTTTTTTTTTTACTCTGCCCTTAACAAGTATAAGTGGCTGTTTTTTTTTTCCCATTCTAGATAACTGACGTTAGAAAAGCTCAAGCTTTTATCCGAGGAAACAAAGCAGGAGAAGACTACAAAACCCTCAGTAAGTGTGGCCAAAAGAATAAAGCTAATATGCTTTGAATCTCTATTTGCAGAAAAATACTGTTAGTGAGATCTACAACAGGAAGAGAGCTATGAGAACAGCTTGAAAATGACCTCAATCTCATGGACCTCAAGATTGGACGGCTAGTGAAGAGCAGAATGACACTGCAGGTAGGAAATGCAGTGCTGGGAGATGAGCAGAGTGAATTGAGGCCAATGGCAGTTAGCATGAGGACCTTCTGAGCCTGGATCTCACTTACTCAGATGCAGTGGGAAATATTTCCCCCAGAGTTACAGGTTTTCCTCCCAGTAAGTTCCTAACTGTTCCACTTATTACTATGTATCCCTAGAAAGAGAACTGCAGAAGAAACATCAAGGCTTCAAGTGTTTTAAAAACAAAGCACCAGAAAAAAGCCCACTCGGGACCAAGGGAAAGCAATAGATGGAATGCTTGAAGGCTGAGAGAACTGTTTGTCTGTTCACTTGTGGTTACGTGAGTCATGGACTCGCACACCTCAATTTCTTCTCACGTTCTGTGTGCTGTATCAGAAGGGGGAGGTGATTTTGGAGCAGGAAATGTGCTCAGGCTGCTTGGTGTTGGTTGGCTGATGGAAGCCCCCTCTGTCACTTTGCTGACGATTGATTGCACACAAGAACAACGTTGCTGATACAGCGGTGCCTTTTTTTAACTCAAGCTGAAGTTACAGTCACCTTTTCCTTTGGTCCTGAATAGCGTGGCGCTAGGCTTGACCTTGTGTAAAATCTGAACCATGGCAGCAGTGAAGTTCAGTTCCAAAGGAGGCTCCAGCTCTTGGGCTGATGCTGGCAGCAAAAAGTATCATAGTTATCAGAGCAGTGGAGGCAGGGAGTCAGCAAAATGGAAGCAGGGCTTGGGGCTTCAAGCACAGTTGAGAAAGAAAGGCATTTTCAAGCATCTTCAGAACGCTACCAGCTGTGACAGTAGTCCCTGCTCTTAGTCCTTGTAGGTTCTCAACCAATTCTGGAATGTGGGGACAAGTCAGAAATCGCTGCTGTAACAGATAATGTTTCACTTCATGATCTCCTGATGTACCTTGACTGCCTTATCCACACAAAAGGAAGTGCTATCATGCAGCTTTTTCCCATATTGCGTGTTATTTAAATGTGGAATCTGTCCCTCTGTGTTCTTTGCAGGATGTTGTTTCTCATAGCAAAAATCTTAGCAAGGAGAACAAGGAACAGCTCTGTGACGTGATGACGCTGAACGAGCAAAAGGGAGGTTTGAAAGCTTGGAGCAAAGAGGAGAGGGAAAAGCTGGAAGCCTATCAGCATCTTTTCTACTTGAGGTATGCAGCTTTTCATTCACTGCTCTTGTCATAGATGCTTACGTGTATTGGAACAGTCTGTGCTTAAATGCTCTGCAGTGTTGAGGCGCTGTCTGTCTTTGTGGTGTTGGCTTTTGTGGACACGTGCTGTATGGGAACTGCTGAGTCATGGCCTGAACCTCTGATTGATCACCTGAGGCGAGCAGTGAGTCAGGCAGAGGAGCACAGGTGAAGGCAATGCAGCTGTGCTGCTGGAAGGGGTGCAGCCAGGCTACAGCCCTCCTAGACCTGTTTAAGAGCTGGCTACCAGTGGGGAAGGATCTCGTCTGGAGATCTGCTCTGCTGGAGTTTTGTAAGTGAGCCCAGGATAGGGGTAAGCCTTCTATTTATTCTCCTTTTGTTAGCTTAGTCTGCTTTGTCAAACTCTCTTGTTTATTTCATAATGACAACATCTTAATAGTCATTGATTATACACTTGCACTAAGTACTTTTTCTTCTTGTTTTAGACTACTCCAACGTACTTGGCCAAGCTGCTTTTGCAGATGCCTCAAAACAAACCCACAGAGTTCATGGATTCAGCCATCTTCACGCTGCATAACTACGCATCCAGTCAGAGAGAGGAATCTCTGCTGTTGCGGCTGTTGCAAACAGCATTGCAGGAAGAGATCAAGTACGTTGTAGCATAGGACACAGCCTTGCTGTTGCCTGAGTTTGGGCCGCTGCTAAAATTGCAGCTGTTGTTGTGTGATGTCCCGTGCTCATTAGCTGATAATGCTGACCTGTCCCTGCCTTCTGCTCATGCTGTTTCACGTCAGTCCTTTCTGTAACCTGGAAGGAGGAGGAATTACCTTTGTTCTTTAGGATTAAAGCCATTTTTCTTTAGCCAGTGCTTTCTTGCTCAGGGAGGCACTATTTTTGATCTACTGCAGTGCTTTCCTAAGATTCATTCCCATCTAAGTTCTCTGCTGTCTAGTAAGAAGGACTTGGCACAGACTGCGAGCTTGGGCTTTACAGGCCAGAGTGAAGCTGACGCGAAGGTCACTGTTTTCCAAAACTGATGAGGAGGCTGAAAATCAGATGCTGTCTGGTTTGGGTTTTTTACTGGCTGTCAGGCTTAAGGATTCTGGCTGTCTGTCGGCATAATTGAGTTGATTGCCACTTAGGAGTTTGGTGTTTATGACTTCTGGCTGATACGGAGCTTCACAACTTGCTAGGAATAGCAAATACATGTAATGTTGGAGGCAGTCATGCCTTTTTTGATGCTTTTAAGTATGAGGATGGTATGTGCCCTCCAACAGGTAACACCTAAAAGGTTTGTTTAATTATTATTATCTTTTCTTGGAGTAGTAGTTCAGGAAAGTGCATGTCTATGCTTTATTCTCTGCTGCTGGATTTCCCATAGCGGCATGCTGTGAATGGCTTTTGTTGCTGATTGCTTACTTGTTGAAATACTGAAAGAAAATAGTTGTGCCTGTGTAGAACTCCCTTTGTTTCCTCTGTATTTTTGAGATGCGCTCTTTCAACCGTGGTGCCCGTGGTGAGAACGCACTGAGGCAGATCTTGGCCCCAGTTGTGAAGGAAATAAATGAGGACGAATCGCTCAACGTCAGAACGGATCCAGTGGATATTTACAAGTGCTGGGTGAACCAGATGGGATCTCAGAATGGTGAGGCCGGGTATGGAAGCTGTTGCTACTGTTTTTTTCTGAAAGTTGCTCAGCTGCTTTGCATTGCTCTGTTAATCGTTCCAAACCATCCCTGGATTCATTGCATGCATCTGTCCAATGGATACCAGCTTTTTTCCATCAGCTCGAGATGGCTTTCTTCTGAAAGGTATAAAGATCATCTTGTGACAGGGGTGTTGAGCCTATTAGAAGTGAATCTCATGAAGAGATAGGCCAAGAAAAGCCCCAAAGCATTTCTTCTGTGTTAACTCATAGATACAGATACCGTAGCTCTTACTCTACCAAGCCAATCTCTGCCCACAACTCGGGCAGGCTGCCCAAGGAGGCTGTGGATGCCCCATCCCTGGAGGCGTTCAAGGCCTGGCTGGATGTGGCTCTGGGCAGCCTGGGCTGCTGGTTGGTGAACCTGCCACGCAGCGGGGGGTTGGAACGAGATGAGCATTGTGGTCCTTGTCAACACAGGCCGTGTTCATAGAATCACAGCATGCAGCTGTTCCTGTCTGCCCATGAGAAGGTTTCATCCACGTGGTCATCCTGGTTGGTTGGCCTGTAGATCCCCCGCTACGTCATCTGTCCCTGTCCTCCCTTTAATCTGTGTCTATAAACTCTTGATGGGCTCCCATCCGTCCCCAGTCAGAGTTCTGTGTTTCTTCCAGTGCTTGATGTTGACCAGATTTTGAGGATTCTGTTGTTGGTTGTATTTGTTTTGTTTTTAAGGCACTTCAAGGGAAGTGGTGGAAAAGCAATGCTATGAAGTAAAAGACAACTGTCCCAGCGCAGCACGCTGCGTGAGTTACTATCTTAACACTGCAATGTGCAGCTTGTGTTTTCACTGATTTATTTGCGACCTGAGGTACTACTGCGTATCGCAGGTGACCTTCTTGACTCTAGAGAGCGTGTCTGCATGTGGTACAGAAAGATACAGTTCAGAGTTAGCTGGGCCTGTTCTCACAGCGACTGCTGCAGGGACAGCAGAGGACGTGAGAAGTCCTTTGCTCTTTCAGTGCTAGCATTCTAATGAAAGTGAAAGCGTGCAGCTCTTTGCAGCCAGGTGAGCGTGGATCTGTTTGTGTGTCAAGCCAAAAATTCTGCCTGGCACTGACAAAAGTATATTAGGCTGAGGAGTGCTCACCTTCACATCTGACTTTTCCAAATAGCAAGTTGCCGTACGATGTTGCACCTGAACAAGCTCTTAATCACGGTGAGGTGAGGACGCACCTGGATGCCTCAATCCGAGATGTGAAGGCAGTGACAGACAAGTTCCTGTCTGCCATCGTTGTTCAGCTGACCAAATCCCGTAAGTCTGGTGTGTCACCGCGTTATCCTGCAGCAGTTAATAGTGGGTTCATCCGTGAGGAATTCTCACTTGCCTTTTATTTCCTTCGAAGTTACGGGATGCGTTTCATCGCCAAGGTACTGAAAGACTCCCGGCATGACAAGTTTCCTGATGCTGGCGAGGATGAGCTTCTGAAGGTAAGGAGCTGAGCAGCTCTGTGAATCATTGTCTGCCACGCTGACTGCAGCAGATGCATCTCAGTGTTGTTTGTTGGGTGTACGTGTGCAGAGAAGTTTCAAAGCTGCAGTTTAAGTAGACAGGCTATTTGTTGTTATTGCTGGATACATGTTTGTCAAAGGAGACATAATACAGCGTTCAGAAGAAGTCACCCTATTGCTTTTCCTTTTGCTTTTAATATCTTGGGCATTGTGCCCCCTAGGTTTCTTGGCTTTGGGATGCTCTTGCTGCTGAATGGTGCACCTTGGTTTTGCTGGTGTTATCTGAGTCAGTTGCTCTTTTTTTAAAGAGACAGTGCCAAGTTGAAAAGGCCCGTGTGCAGAATTCTACTCTTCTCACTTCCCTTACAATATTCTAGGGCATTACAGTAGCTGCAACAAAGTATACGGTGTCATCTTTCATGAGGTGTGGGCAGTTTTGTGTTGTACATTTCCGTACTTTAGAGAACGAAAAGGATGTTAGTAGTAAATGCTTCCAAATGAGCACAGCATTGTGGCTTTCATTGGGATTGTCCTGGCGTTTGTTATTTTGAAGGTCTTTCTGTCTGTGAGTGCTCTTCTTCTTAATAAAACAAAGAGTGGCTTTGATATTACTTGCCCCAGTCTCTTTAAGCTTTTCTGTCTCCGCTTCATTACGAAGTAATTCCCAATCTGAATGCCGTTTTCTTCTCTCTTCTGGTTCCGTGCTTTCCCGTTCTGAGGCATCGATTCTTTCTGTGCAGGTGAATTCATTTTTTCCATCTGTAAATGTAGGTGGAAAGCTGCAGTTTTTATTAATCCTTGTGGAAACAATGTCACGGCCCATGCCGCACTCTGAACTGCAGCTGCGTGCGGTGACTGCCTGTAGATGCATTAGGGCCTAAAACTACTCCTACAGTGTACTGTTCTTGTCTTCCTACTACATGTTTTACTATTATCAGTATGATTTCTCTCACAAATGTGTTTCTTATGACTGGTAGTGAACAGTTTTGTCTGTTGTGACCATGTGCCGTCACCTGGGATAGTAGAGCAAGAGCTGAAACAGCTGTCAAAACCATGACCTCTCTGAAAGCAGTTAATTTCTGGGTCAGCTTAGCAATGGCGAAGCTTCTTCTTTCTGTTTTTGCCATTTCTTCACACCTCTGATCTCTTCTGTGCATTCAAATCGCACGTGAAGCAGGAGAAGCCCAGATTCTGTGACTTGGTTCTGCACAGATTGATGTGAAACACCAGGAAATACTGAAGCATGTGGCGTGGGAACTTTTGCTGCATGTCAGCGTGCTGGGCCAATGCCTTTTTGTTGTGGGAATTACTGCAGGCAAATGTCCAATACGGGTTAGAAGTAGATGGATGAGCACGTGGATAACGGGCTGTCTTTATCTTTGGGGCCTCGGCGTTCATTGCTGCTCACTTAGCTGGTGAATTGGACTTCTTTTGAAATGTCAAATACCGCTCATCTTCGGTACTTCTGAGTTTCTTACTTCTGGATTAAATGCACAGTTGTGCATTTATTTAGTGTATGTATCTATGTGACAGTGTGAAACTAAGATTCTTTGGGACAGCATGTGCTTATTAAAGGCAGCGCAGTAGACCCTGCATCTGGAACGGGGCCCACAGCTCACAGGAAAGTAATTGGTCAGAACTCACTCGGAGTAGTGTCAGTAAAACTCAGTGGAGGTCTGTGCCATTGGTTTTCCACGTGTTTTTTTCTCTCCTCAACTTGTCCTAGATTGTTGGCAACTTACTCTATCACCGCTACGTGAATCCAGCCATGGTGGCACCGGATGCATTTGACCTAATGGATCTTTCAGCTGGAGGGCAGCTGACTGCAGATCAATGAAGAAATCTTGGCTCTGTTGCAAAGATGCTGCAGCATGCTGCGTCCAGCAAGATGCTCATGGGAGACAGTGCACATCTGAGCATCGTGAAGGAATACTTGTCACAGTCATCCCAGAAATTCAGGTAGAAGACTTGAGCTGATTGTGTTGAGGAGTTTGTCAGAGGACAGTGTTGCAAACAAAGAGGAGCGGTGAATTTTAAATGTAATAAATTCCATCTCTGTCAAAAAGGAGGTCTGTTGAAAATGAGAGATTGCCCTTTGGGCTTCCACAATCATTGATCATAATGACATATAAAATACGTAGCTGGAATTGACAAACTAGATATAGTATATTAATGAGCTGGTCCAAACAATTGGCTTTGCCATACAAGCCTCCAGAGTAAAGGCTGTTTTTCTATGTGTTTATTATGATATTCTGGCCATTGAAAACTAGAGTGTGCTTGCGTTCTTTCCTATATGCACCCTAGTTCTCTGTATGCAAACTAGATGGCACTTTGGATTAAAGCAGGCTGGAATTTAGTTGTTTGTATAATCAAGTAACTTTTGAATGAAGAGCTTCTTTATATCTTTCATCTTTTGTAAGAAAGAAAACTGGAAATGGCTGGGAGTGAGGATTATTCTTGCAGCTGAGACAGAAGGATGGGTGCACAAGGTCATTCGGTCCACAGACTTGTCCTGCAGATGCTTACAGTGAGCGAATGCCGACATGGCCAGTACCAATAACTGAATCTTCTAGATGGCTTTTGATGTGATAAGCTATAGCTTGTCCAATTGCAGTATGCTTGGGAACCATGGTTTAAAGAAGAACAGCTGCTGGTATGCTGATTACCTTTTTCTCCTTTTTCTTTTCTTTTTTTTTTTTTTTTTTAAGACTCTTTTTTCACAAGGTTGCTTGTGAGGTTCCTGAATTGCAGGATCAATTCAGTATTGATGAATATTCTGGCTTCCTTCCTTGTCTATCCCTTCTGCAGAGCTTATAGCCATCAATCTCAACGCGCCAGTCATGGGAGCAGTCCCACCATGTTTCAGTAACAGCAGCTAGATCGTAGTTAGCCTGGTGCACAATGGCTTCCAGTTCCTCCTGCTTGTTGCTCATGCTGCGTGCATTGGTATAGGTGCACTTGAGCCGAGTCATTTGCCTGACTCCCAGCTCTAAAATCGTTCCGCCAGGCTCTTCTCTTGTGAGGCCTGTACTGTCCCCTTCCCCCGTCATAATTAGTTGATTGCACAGGAAGAAAAGCTTGATGTCTGTGCCAAGGGAGACGTACACCGCACTTGCGCTGCCTGGATGATGTGGAAACTGGAAATTGTGGGGTGTGCTGAAGCATGCCCTCTCAGGTCAGTCTAAGCATCCATAGAGTAGACCTGTCTAGCAAAACAGGGAATAGACAGTTAAACCCATTCTGTTGGGAAATACTCTCTCCTTCTAAGTACCTTTAGAACGTGAGTTTCTTCAATTAATTACTCAACTCATTTGCTTTTCCTGAATGATCCTAAGTTCTTTTCTCAGGCGACATCTGCACTCTGCTCAGTCCAAGGAGAAATCCCTGCCCGCAGATGCAATGACACAGCGTGGCTCACCACCTCATTTTTCATTGCTTACTGTTATGGTAGCTGCCATCCATGTCCACCCTGCGTATTCTTAGAGCTCTACTGGTGTCCATGGGACAGACTTATGGTTGAACTAAAGGGAATTTTTTCATATTGCTCTAGCTCCAGATGATTATCCCTAGTATCATTATATTACAAAAAAAAAAAAAAAAAAAAAAAGGCGTTTTGAAGTAGCGCGATATATCTTCTGTGCCTCAGAATGTGGCACGTGTGGCATGAGAGAGTTGTGAGGCCACGAGGACTGCCCAGACAGCATGAGAACTGTAAGAGCAGAGAGCTATAAGTGATGCAGCGCTATTGGTGCCACCCGCAGGAAGCGGTAGCTGGAACTAAATATGGCCAGAAGAGTGATCAGATTGCGTTTGGTAAGGAACTATTTCATTAGTTGTAGAACTTTGACAAAATGTATATTCAGGATGATGATCAGCATGCCAGGTGCTGGGACCATGCCGAAAGAGAAATGGTCTGAAAACGTCGGTGCAATTTGCAATATATCCCCTTCCACAAAGCCCTCAGATCCATGCTGCAACTGCATCCAAAGCAACCCAGAGCCCTGTGCTTGTTGTACCCGGAGCTATCGGTGCCAGGAGTTGCTGCTGTGTTTGCAAGGACGTTGTGTCAGCAGTGTGTCGTCAGTGGGGTTGTTTGATGGCAATGAAACCGCTGAATGGTGTACCTCAAGACTCAGAAAGAAGATGGTAGTGGTGACTGTGTGTCTAGGTATAGATAGCTTGATACAGATCTATAGGACTGCAGTGTGGATTGTACATAGGCCCTGCGCTGCAAGGTACGCTGTTGGGAAGCAATGTCCATCTGCCCGAGGGCAGGAAGGCCCTGCAGAGGGACGGCCTGAGGCCAGCCGTACGAGGCTGCACAGGAGCAAGCGCTGGGTCCTGCGCTGTGGTCATGACAACCGCATGACAGCTTGTGCAGGATTGGGCTGAGGTAGAATTCCAACGGCCCGCTGATTCTAGAATGTTGGGTGTGGTGTTGGAATCTTCTGGTCGTGTGACATGGTCTTGCCTCCCCACCCTGTCGTCATGGCGGAGCAGCCTGGTGGCCCTTAGTGATGTCACAAGAGGCTGGAATGAGGGGAGGAGCAGTGCGTGCTGCGTCCCTTCATTGGAGCGCTTGAGCTCTGCGTGAGTAGCTCGCTTGTTGCCCTTGTGCAGCGACTGAGTGCCTTCGTTTTCACCCCGTCTTGTGCAGCATCTTGTAGGTAAGCTGAGACAGCGTGGGATGGACGGGTGTTGAAAACTGCTGGCTGGTGGAGCTCCTAGCAGCTCGTACTGCTTACTCTTGTCCATCAGACGTAACTTTCAGCCAGCACCTGCATTCCCAAGCGATCCACAAAGATGGCATTTGTCCCATGGCTTTTCCCTTGTTGTCTTTGCTGCATTGTGGAAGCTCACAGACCTGTTCCTTCTCTCTCCTCTACCCGCTCCCTTGGTGCAGCTTTCGCTCGTGGAAGCACAGAGCAAAGTGACAAGAAACAGCTGCGAGTTCAAGGAATTGTCTACCTTGTTCTGATCTCCTGCCAGGTACGTGCCACGCTTTGTCCCCCCACGTGGTTGACCAGCACTGTGTCGCACCATGTTTGGTAACACAGCCTCACCCAGCTTTGATGGGACACTGGTCCCGTGTGGGTTATTTCCCTTCCCCTGCAGCTCGGTCCTGTGGAGGATGCTGTGTGTGGTGCTGTGACCAGCTGGTCTGAAGGAAAGCAATCCCTTAGGCAAAGGGTCCTAGGCCCAGTTTGTGCCGAGCTGCACAGTGTGACCCAAGGTCACAAGCACGCATGCCTGGGCAGCGTGAGTGTGCGCGGCAGCTGTAGGGTGCACAGCAGAGATGCAAGCAGAGGAAATCCTTGATGTGCGGGGCTGCAGCAGGTGCCGGTGGTGAGGCTGCTGGGAGCCGTGGCCGGGGAGCAGATGCACCTGCAGCAATGATTCCTCTCACTGCCCTGCTGCTGCGCTGTCAGAGCGCCCTGGGCGAATGCATCTGCTGCTTTGTGCCAGTCCCCATCTGCTAGCAGAGGGACAGCCGCTTGGTCAAATGCTGCCTAATGGGCTGTCCCATTTGAACGGAGTGAACAGAGTGGTTGCTTCTAGAGCACCCGCCTGTGCCAGAGGATAGCCAAGGGTAGTTCTGAAGAAGTCTCTCAATAGTGTGGTGTGTGAAGAGAGAAAATATGAGCGTGTTTCTTTTCATTCCAGCTTGTCGTGCCTGCTGTGATGGGCATCGCGTGCAGCGAGATCAGCTGTGAGCCTGGCATGACACGGATGGAGGTAGAGTGTGGAGCTCTGATTGGTCTTTGTTCCCTGATTTGAGCCAGCAGAGTGAGCTGCAGATGTGCTCTCCTGCTTTTCAAGAGAGCGAATCCTTGCGGCTCTATCGGTGTCACTGAAAAGCTGCCTTCAAGGCTTTCTTTCCTTGCTGCGGGCATGTTCTTAGCCTTGCCGTTCCTTCTTGTGTGCCCATGATAAGGACGGAGTGCACTTCCTGCAGCTTTCTCTGCTGACATGCTCCTCAGCCTGAAATCCTCCTCGTTTGCCCTCAGCTCCTCACCATGGCCTGTGCTCTCTGTTTCAGGCTGAGAACAACGGGAAGCCCCTGCTGGTCCGTGAGGAGTCATCTCTTAATATCCCAGCTATTGCTGCTGCCCACGTTATTAAGAGATACGTTGCCCAGGCACCGGGTGAACTCTCCTTGGAGGTAAGCAGTTAAGGGCGTTCCTTGTTGTCCTGTACAGAAGAGTATAACATGTGAAGCTATCAGGAATATTCTCAGACACCTTCCGAATGTTTGGTGAGGTGAAGCTCAGAAGATGCGACTCCAGGTTAGACTTGCACTGGGTTGGATGCAGGGAGGAGTTCAGCCATCTCTAAACTATGGCTCTATTTGGCATTGGAATCTTCTGATCCAAGAGCTACTGCCCAGTGTGGTAGCCTGGTCTCTGAGCAATGGCAGAGCAGTGTATGGAGTGTGCAGATCTGTTCAGGCTCTGTTCCGCTGACTTATGCCTGCGGTTTAATTGGAGCTCTCCCTTTGGCAAAGAGCCTGCTGCTTCTGAGAACCATTTCATACTGAACAGCTGAATTCTGTATGTTGTGTATTGGAGTGGCTCTTCTACTTGCACGTTCAGTTGTACGACTGCCAATGCCTGAAGAGCTGCACTGGTGCAATGGCTCTCAAGCTTGACGATATTGGGCAGTGCAGAAGAATGCAGTCATTTGAGCTGCGCTTTCCTCCCAGCCATGCTGAAGCTGGGATTGACGTTGCAATCTCTTGCAGGTGGGAGACCTCGTGTGCGTCATCGAGATGCCGCCTCAGGAGCTGAGCCCCCGCTGGAGAGGCAAGCACGGCTTTCAGGTAGGCCCAAGCTTCAGACGTGAGAGCGCAACTTCGGTCGAGGCAGGAATCTCAGCTTAGAGCTGCCCTGCCTGCACAGCATGGCTCCACATGGAAAATGGTTTCCCTGTGCTGGTGTCAGAGGACTTTCCCTTTTGCTGTGGGCTTGGGCCAGAGCTGGAAGTTTGTCTTTGTAGGAAACTGCCTCCTCAGTTAACTTAGAAAGAAGAGCCCTCACAGCATGCATCAGGTCACGGCCACTGAACCGCACCTTTGGAAATGCAGCAGCTAGGACACGTGTTTCAGTGTCTCTGAGCTCTTGTGCTTGCACCCATGCAGAAGGTGAAGTCAGCGTCTTTTAGGAAGTCGCTGCCTGTCAGCTGAGATGAGGCAGGGTAACAGAGCCTCTGCGCGCTTGCTGCTGCTGCTGGCTGCAGAACGCTGGGTAGCTCAGAGCTGGGGATGGCAGCTGCATCTCGGTCAGCAAGCAGAAAGTTCATAGGCTGTGCTAACTCAGATCTAGCTGCATCAATCTATCATAATATATAGCTTCTGTATGAAGTCTTTCCCTTCGGGCACGCTTGAGATTTAGGGGTGCATAGCATACTTGTCCTTTCCCCGCTCCATACACAGTTTTATGGATATTTGCCTGCCAATTTGGAATAATTATTAATTTTAAGCAGGCCATTTTTTGGTTGGATTGTCTTACGGAGCATCCGGCAGGCACGTGATGAGGAAAATGTGATGTTTGAACAGTTCAGGCCTGAGAAACGCTGCCTTCAGTATTGCACGTCTCTTCTTCTTCTTGTTACAGGTTGGATTTTTCCCTGGTGAGTGTGTGGAGCTCATTAACGGAAAAATCCCAGAGAGTCTCATCAATTCAGTGCCAAAGCCAGGTACGATGATACATTTGATGGTGCAGGGAAGCAAAATGGAGTCTTTTTTCGGGTGTGTTCCGTGTTTAATACCTCCCTTATCCTTCCCACCTTATCCTCTGTGCTGATGATCCTTCATGCATAGCACGGGGCGTATGGCTGGTGTTTTGTAGGCAGTGAGAATGAGGGAAGGCAAAGGCAGTTCTCCTGCAAGTCAGTACGAGGCTGAGAACAGCCAGCGTCCCTGGTGGACAGATAGAGGTCTGGTTGTGCTAGTGACACGCTTGATCAGAACGTGGCTTTTCAAGAGGGTCCTTAATGCCCAAGTTGAGCAAGCTAAGCAAGAGGAGTGCATTCAACTCCATCAGAACGTGCAGAGATTTGGCCCAGTCCTCCTGTGTTTTATGACTGGAGTTGGGGAAATCCTAGAATCCTTGTAGAATGGCTTGGCATGGAAGGCAGCTCGAGGATCATCAAGCTCCAAGCCCCCTTGCCTCAAGCTGGGCTGCCAACCAAGCTCCACGTTTAATGTGGGACTGGACCAGGCTGCCCAGGGCCCCATCCAGTCTGGCCTTGGACTCCTCCAGGGATGGGAAAAATCCATTTTGGTACGCACTTGCTCATCATGTTCTTCCCGTTTTGAGGTGCTCTGTAGAATGTGTTGTGCTCGGCCTCGTCCAACGGAGCCAAACCTGAGATGAACTGGTTTCTTCCTTTTGTTGTGCAGTGCCAAAGAAGCGCGGCAAGCTCCTCACCTTCCTTCGTTCCGTGGTGAAGGCCCGCCCAAAGCAACGGAAAGAGCAGGAGGTGGAGAAGGAGAGGGTGTTTGGCCGTGACCTGGGAGAGCATCTTCTTCACTCTGGTCGTGATGGTAAGGGACAGCCCATTCCTGAGAGCTTCCCTGTTTCAGAACCTAACGATGAAAGGGAGATGGTATCTAGCAAGGGGCAGGTTGATACCAGTGGAGAAACGGGGAATGGGAGTTGATGGCTGAAAGATGAAGTGAGGCTAATGCTCCCAAGAGACAAGCACGTTTGTATTTGCTTCAGCCAAGCCCGGCTGGGCTTAGTGGATGGGATGTGATGGGAGCGCAGCCTGGGCCAGGACTTGACTGAGGAGCTCCAGTAACCGCCGGCACGTGTTCTTTAGTCCCCCAGGTCCTCCAGAGCTGCGCCGAGTTCATCGAGCAGCATGGCGTGGTGCAGGGGATATACCGCCTGTCCGGCGTGGCGTCCAACGTCCAGAGACTGCGGTAAGAGCGCTGGGACTGACAGACACAGCTGCCAGCAGGGGCACGTGCCCTGTTGCGGGCGTTCAGAGGCCTGCGGGCAATGCCTTAGCACAGAGAAAAGGTCTCCTTTGGGAACATCCCATCCAGCACGGCTGACGTGGTGCTGGTGGCCGAGTGTTTGTGTTCTCCAGTACATCAGGAAGCCCTTCTGATTCTTGATTGCATTGGGTGTGGCTTTTGACTTGCTTTCCTCTTTCTCAACCGCTTTCGTGTCCTTCTCTGCAGCCAGGAATTTGAGTCTGAGCAGGTTCCTGAGCTAACCGTCCGCGACGTTCACAGCGCGAGCTCCCTCTGCAAAACGTACTTCAGGGAGCTCCCGACCCCCCTGCTGACCGACCAGCTGTACGACAAGTTCTCGGTAAGCACGAGGCAACGCCTTTCCTTTCCCTCTTCGCTGGGCCTCTTGGGAGATGGCTGCAGCAGTGCCCCAGCTCTGAGGCCCTTCTTCTGTTAGCCCCATGGGGTTTACTCGCATGTCTTTGCCACATCCTGCATCGTGCTGATGCCACTTCTGGTGGCCCCAGGAGGTGGTTATTTCCATATTCACAATGCTTTGCGAGAATTCATGTGTTGTTTGTTTGTTTTTTGCTATTCCCCAATTCTTTCTGGAACAGGAATGGGATTAATAGCCAAGTGTACTTGGAGATGAATGCCCCCTGCGAGGAGCTGAGCTGCCCAACCAGGCTGTAAACCGGCCCGGTGCTTGGACTCCTTGGCCGTGGTGGCACCAGCTGCGTGCCGCTATGTTTGCCAGATGCCTCTGGGGAGGCCTAAAAACTTTCTCCGTGCTGACCAGCAGCGCGCTGTGCCCATGGTTCCCGACCCTGCGGCAGGTATCTCTCCTGATTTGTGTCTCAATCCCTTTCTGCCCTTTTCCAGGATGCTGTTGGTGCCACTACGGAGGAGGAGCGGCTGGTCAGAATGCGGGACACCATCCAGCAGCTGCCCGCTCCTCACTACAGGTCAGTGCTGCCCTCAGCCTGCTGAGCTCAGCCCTGCTGCACTTCAGAGGGCATTGGTGCGATTCCAGGCTTTGTCTCACGTGAGCAACACGATGCCTGGGTATGTTGAAGCGGTTGAAGGCTACACGGGTTTAATTTACAGGGTTAATTTATTGGGTCAGGTCCTGGGCACGGGGGCAGGCTTGGTGCAGCTGATGGCTGTGGCTGTGCTGTGCTGGTGCTGGGTGCTGCAGCGTGGCACTTGGTCAAGTTGGGTCTACTTCATCTTCAGCATCAGTAGCAGTAATAACAACTAGTGTGAATTGAGGTTTGCTTTGTGAGTCGCAGCATGGCGTGCTGGCTGGTGCTGAACATTTGCCTCTCTTGTTTCCCAGGACCCTGGCGTATCTGATGAGACACTTGGCCTGTCTGTCTGCGAACAGCTCTGTCACCAACATGCACTCTAAGAACTTAGCCATTGTGTGGGCTCCAAACCTCCTAAGGTAAACTTCTTTTTCCATTTCAACACAACGCTTACATCTGTTCTCCAGTAGAATAAAGCAATCCTCCCTTCTTCTGCACCACATGTGCTCTTCTCCTGTAAAATGTGCAGTGAGTGGCTGACAGCAGAGCAGGAGCCTGGACTGTTCTCCAACCCCCACGGGCACAATTTTTAGCTGAGCATTGCTGCTCTCTTGTTTAGATGGGACTGGTGTGTCGTTGATCAGCCAGGAGAACTTTTTCAGTGGCATCACTGATTGCCTACTGCGGAAGTCTCTGGAGCCCAGTTTGACAGCTTTGGGCTGCAACAGTTCAGACCCGGGGAAGCGATCTTGGATAAATGACTTCTAAAACCTGCCTTTTCTACAGATCACAGCAGAGCGAGTCTGCCTGCGCCAGCGGGAGAGCTGCCTGCACGGAACTGCAGACGCAGTTGGCCGTGGTGGAATTCATCATCGACCACACAGACGTCCTCTTCTGCTCCACATCTGGACCTGACATCGCAGATGGAGCAGGTGAGTGTCTTCCTCCATTAGCTTCATCTTGTTCAGACACCTGGATCAAATGCAGGCCTTCTCCAAGTCCTTTGAAATCATCTTTTACTATCGAGGGGACAGCAGACTTCTGGGCTTAGATTGGAATCTGGCGTCCAGTTGCTGGATGCTGAGAATGTGCAAGCCCAAACATGACAAGGAGAAATCTGGTGAAGCTTGGTGAAAGTGTGGCAGCGAAGCTTTCTCAGTTCCCTGCGCCTATTTTCTAGGGATTGTGTTTGCCTGTTTCGATACAGGGACCTGCTCCTAATTATGACTGCATCCTTTGCCATAGACACACCTCTGAGCACATGGTTGTTTTGAGCTGCTCTTCTTGCAGCGGCTCGGATAAGCAAATCTGAGAGAAACACAGCAGCTCCCCCGGACCTGCGATGGCTGTGCTGCCGCTTTCTGATCCTGGCTCTCACCTGTGGTTTTCCCTTCCAGGGCACAGTTCTCTCTCAGGGCCCCAGTCTGTGCAGGCGTCTTCTCCTGCCACAGAGCTGCTCAGCCTGGAGGAGGCGCAGGCACGGAGGCGAGGCCACAGCAGCTCTCCTGTTGCTGTGATAGTGAGCAGGGACATAGAGGTGGAAGAAGGCCCCAAAGCTGTACGGGGCAAATTCCACACCATCATCGACTTTCCACCTGAAAGGTAAAGAGGACTTCCTTTTCCAGTACCTTCTCATCATTGTTTGGGTGGGTTTTTGTGGTTTCTTTTTGTGTTGTTTCCCCCCCCCATTATTTCTAGAGGCAAAGCTTGCTGAAACTCAGTTAAACTGATGGTGCCTGAAGTGTTGCAGTGAATCTCCACTCCCTTTGCACTGTGAGACAGAACTCACATTCAGTTGCCCACCGGGCTGAGTTTAGCCACACAAGGCTGGCATTCCCTCCTTGCTGGGCAGGCAGTCACGAGATGCATAAAGCCACGCTGACGTCTGTCCTGGCCTGTGCTGGCTGTACCTGGAAACATTGGGGTTTTCTGGACTTCAGGGCCACGTGCCTGAATCCAATTCCGATTCTCCTCGAAGCAGAGCTGTTGGTCAGACCTGCTGGCACGAGAAACTAGATATGGCAGTGAGATGGGGCCGATGAGCTGTCAGTGTCAGAGTCAGAGATGCTTTTGGAGTTCCACGCACAACTCACACCATTCCCTGTTTCCTCTCTCCAGACCAAGTCCACCCAGCAGGATGAAGGAATCACCATCTGGCTGTTGCTGTTCCTGCTTCAGCCTGGGAAAACCATCCTCTGTGGCCAAAGACCAACGGCAGCACCATCCCAGGGAGCCCTCAGAGACAGACGTTGTAGTGCTGGCAGGTAAAGGTGCAAATCCAGCTTTCAACACCCTGCTTCTCAGCAACGTAGAATTCTTGCTGTCAGTGGGCTTGTATCTCCTTCTAGCTATCCAGCCCATACCTAGCACCTTCAGATCTCCCCTGATCAAGAACCACTTTTGTAATTCAGCTTGTGAGAGTTGGACACCAACCCCTGTTCATTCTTTTATAGGTGATTCAAGCTCTTGTCAACCCAGATGTGCCAGAGCAAGCAGCGATGCTGGGCTGTGTGCTTCCACCAATGGAGAGCTCTTGGGAAGCACAAATGGCTGCGGTTCAGCTGACAGCCTGCCACATAACAACAGTGATGGACACGAGGAGCTCATCCAAGTTGAAGCCCTCATTTCTCCCGGCTGTGCTGAAGATGCTGACCTGAGCCTGCCAGACACCACAGGCAGCCTGGACTGTGACCCGGTGCCTCTGCAGTGCAGCCCAGCCCAAGCAGAGCCCGAGTGCTCCGACAGCAGCACCGCCTTTGAGGAGAAGGTCAGCATCAGCGAGGAGCAGCAGAGCCTTTTGGAGGGGGGCTTAGAATCAGGCCTCCAGTCCCAGGCACCGGACATCAACACTGACAGCGCTGATCCACTCTGTCCATGAGCTTTCCACCCAAGAGAGGACGATTCCCATCTTTACCTGGACCTCTCACGCCCTGCTGTCTTTTCCTTTACTAATAAAAGCACACTTATACTCACTCAACGCCTTGACTGCCTGTGGAGTCTTCATTCAAGGGGACTGGGATGAATGCAACACACAGTAAGGCACCACAGCTTGCAACGTGATGGCTGTGGAGTGCGTGCAGCAGAGCTTCTTGTTTGTTCCTGCTTTGTCTGCAGCGAGAGCTCTGCCTACGATTTGGTATGGCAGCTGATAATGTCTAGGATTCTGGATATGGCTCAAGATAATCCCAAGCTTCCTGGCTGTGGCTTTGTGATGCTTTCCAGGGCTTTTGGATGCGTTTTGACACCTTGGCTGCTCCCTAGCACCTTGCTCCTGCAGCTGAGTTAGCTGGGCCTTTTCTCACAGCGACTGCTGCAGGGACAGCAGAGGACATGAGAAGTCCTTTGCTCTTTCAGTGCTAGAATTCTAATGAAAGTGAACGTGCAGCTCTTTGCAGCCAGGTGAGCGTGGATCTGTTTGTGTGTCAAGCCAAAAATTCTGCCTGGCACTGACAAAAGTATATTAGGCTGAGGAGTGCTCACCTTCACATCTGACTTTTCCAAATAGCAAGTTGCCGTACGATGTTACACCTGAACAAGCTCTTAATCACGGTGAGGTGAGGACGCACCTGGATGCCTCAATCCGAGATGTGAAGGCAATGACAGACAAGTTCCTGTCTGCCATCATTGTTCAGCTGACCAAATCCCGTAAGTCTGGTGTGTCACCGCGTTATCCTGCAGCAGTTAATGGTGGGTTCATCCGTGAGGAATTCTCACTTGCCTTTTATTTCCTTCGAAGTTACGGGATGCGTTTCATCGCCAAGGTACTGAAAGACTCCCGGCATGACAAGTTTCCTGATGCTGGCGAGGATGAGCTTCTGAAGGTAAGGAGCTGAGCAGCTCTGTGAATCATTGTCTGCCACGCTGACTGCAGCAGATGCATCTCAGTGTTGTTTGTTGGGTGTACGTGTGCAGAGAAGTTTCAAAGCTGCAGTTTAAGTAGACAGGCTATTTGTTGTTATGGGTATAAAGTACTTTGCCCTGTGCTTTGTCAATGGTTTATGGGCTGGTCCGGCCCAGTTCCGTGACCAGCAGGGCGGAGGAATCTGCGGATCCGCGCCTCTGGGAAAGGGGAAGCAGGGGACCCCAAAATACTTGAAAAACAACAGCACTGGTCTGAGGTGGAACAAATGATTTTACTACATATAGTACTAGTAAAATACAAAGACAGAGAGAGAGAGAGAGGGAGAGAGAGAGAGTCTGTTTGAACTGTATAGACCTCACCACAATGCTGGGGTGAGAAGTGCAGTCCAGTTGAGTGACTGAAGTGCAGGCGGCGAAGTGCAGACAGCCAAGAGCAGGCGAAGAAGAAGGATCAGGTGACCTTGCTTGGAGTTATATCCCCTTGCTGACCGCAAAGGCTCCTGGGGAAATGTAGTTCTTCTCCGACGGACGAACATTCGGCAGATATCAAACCCCACCCCCAGTGCATTACATGATGTTATGGTGTGGAATACTGATGACCAAAAATCATAAAACCATGACAGGATTGCTGGATACATGTTTGTCAAAGGAGACATAATACAGCGTTCAGAAGAAGTCACCCTATTGCTTTTCCTTTTGCTTTTAATATCTTGGGCATTGTGCCCCCTAGGTTTCTTGGCTTTGGGATGCTCTTGCTGCTGAATGGTGCACCTTGGTTTTGCTGGTGTTATCTGAGTCAGTTGCTCTTTTTTTAAAGAGACAGTGCCAAGTTGAAAAGGCCCGTGTGCAGAATTCTACTCTTCTCACTTCCCTTACAATATTCTAGGGCATTACAGTAGCTGCAACAAAGTATACGGTGTCATTTTTCATGAGGTGTGGGCAGTTTTGTGTTGTACATTTCCGTACTTTAGAGAACGAAAAGGATGTTAGTAGTAAATGCTTCCAAATGAGCAATTGTGGCTTTCATTGGGATTGTCCTGGCGTTTGTTATTTTGAAGGTCTTTCTGTCTGTGAGTGCTCTTCTTCTTAATAAAACAAAGAGTGGCTTTGACATTACTTGCCCCAGTCTCTTTAAGCTTTTCTGTCTCCGCTTCATTACGAAGTAATTCCCAATCTGAATGCCGTTTTCTTCTCTCTTCTGGTTCCGTGCTTTCCCGTTCTGAGGCATCGATTCTTTCTGTGCAGGTGAATTCATTTTTTCCATCTGTAAATGTAGGTGGAAAGCTGCAGTTTTTATTAATCCTTGTGGAAACAATGTCACGGCCCATGCCGCACTCTGAACTGCAGCTGTGTGCGGTGACTGCCTGTAGATGCGTTAGGGCCTAAAACTACTCCTACAGTGTACTGTTCTTGTCTTCCTACTACATGTTTTACTATTATCAGTATGATTTCTCTCACAAATGTGTTTCTTATGACTGGTAGTGAACAGTTTTGTCTGTTGTGACCATGTGCCGTCACCTGGGATAGTAGAGCAAGAGCTGAAACCGCTGTCAAAACCATGACCTCTCTGAAAGCAGTTAATTTCTGGGTCAGCTTAGCAATGGCGAAGCTTCTTCTTTCTGTTTTTGCCATTTCTTCACACCTCTGATCTCTTCTGTGCATTCAAATCGCACGTGAAGCAGGAGAAGCCCAGATTCTGTGACTTGGTTCTGCGCAGATTGATGTGAAACTCCAGGAAATACTGAAGCATGTGGCGTGGGAACTTTTGCTGCATGTCAGCGTGCTGGGACGATGCCCAGTATATTAATGAGCTGGTCCAAACAATTGGCTTTGCCATACAAGCCTCCAGAGTAAAGGCTGTTTTTCTATGTGTTTATTATGATATTCTGGCCATTGAAAACTAGAGTGTGCTTGCGTTCTTTCCTATATGCACCCTAGTTCTCTGTATGCAAACTAGATGGCACTTTGGATTAAAGCAGGCTGGAATTTAGTTGTTTGTATAATCAAGTAACTTTTGAATGAAGAGCTTCTTTATATCTTTCATCTTTTGTAAGAAAGAAAACTGGAAATGGCTGGGAGTGAGGATTATTCTTGCAGCTGAGACAGAAGGATGGGTGCACAAGGTCATTTGGTCCACAGACTTGTCCTGCAGATGCTTACAGTGAGCGAATGCCGACATGGCCAGTACCAATAAGTGAATCTTCTAGATGGCTTTTGATGTGATAAGCTATAGCTTGTGCAATTGCAGTATGCTTGGGAACCATGGTTTGAAGAAGAACAGCTGCTGGTATGCTGATTACCTTTTTCTCCTTTTTTTTTTTTTTTTTTTTTTTTTTTTAAGACTCTTTTTTCACAAGGTTGCTTGTGAGGTTCCTGAATTGCAGTATAAGTTCAGTATTGATGAGTATTTTGGCTTCCTTCCTTGTCTATCCCTTCTGCAGAGCTTATAGCCATCAATCTCAACGCGCCAGTCATGGGAGCAGTCCCACCATGTTTCAGTAACAGCAGCTAGATCGTAGTTAGCCTGGTGCACAATGGCTTCCAGTTCCTCCTGCTTGTTGCTCATGCTGCGTGCATTGGTATAGGTGCACTTGAGCCGAGTCATTTGCCTGACTCCCAGCTCTAAAATCGTTCCGCCAGGCTCTTCTCTTGTGAGGACTGTACTGTCCCCTTCCCCCGTCATAATTAGTTGATTGCACAGGAAGAAAAGCTTGATGTCTGTGCCAAGGGAGACGTACACCGCACTTGCGCTGCCTGGACGATGTGGAAACTGGAAATTGTGGGGTGTGCTGAAGCATGCCCTCTCAGGTCAGTCTAAGCATCCATAGAGTAGACCTGTCTAGCAAAACAGGGAATAGACAGTTAAACCCATTCTGTTGGGAAATACTCTCTCCTTCTAAGTACCTTTAGAACGTGAGTTTCTTCAATTAATTACTCAACTCATTTGCTTTTCCTGAATGATCCTAAGTTCTTTTCTCAGGCGACATCTGCACTCTGCTCAGTCCAAGGAGAAATCCCTGCCCGCAGATGCAATGACACAGCGTGGCTCACCACCTCATTTTTCATTGCTTACTGTTATGGTAGCTGCCATCCATGTCCACCCTGCGTATTCTCAGAGCTCTACTGGTGTCCATGGGACAGACTTATGGTTGAACTAAAGGGAATTTTTTCATATTGCTCTAGCTCCAGATGATTATCCCTAGTATCATTGTATTAAAAAAAAAAAAAAAAAGGCGTTTGAAGTAGTGTGATATATCTTCTGTGCCTCAGAATGTGGCACGTGTGGCATGAGAGAGTTGTGAGGCCACGAGGTCTGCCCAGACAGCATGAGAACTGTAAGAGCAGAGAGCTATAGGAGATGCAGCGCTATTGGTGCCACCCGCAGGAAGCGGTAGCTGGCACAAAATATGGCCAGAAGAGTGATCAGATTGCGTTTAGTAAGGAACTATTTCATTAGTTGTAGAACTTTGACAAAATGTATATTCAGGATGATGATCAGCATGTCAGGTGCTGGGACCATGCCGAAAGAGAAATGGTCTGAAAATGTCGGTGCAATTTGCAATATATCCCCTTCCACAAAGCCCTCAGATCCAGGGACGGCCTGAGGCCAGTCGTACGAGGCTGCACAGCAGCAAGCGCTGGGTCCTGCGCTGTGGTCATGACAACCGCATGGCAGCTTCTGCAGGATTGGGCTGAGGTAGAATTCCAACGGCCCACTGATTCTAGAATGTTGGGTGTGGTGTTGGAATCTTCTGGTCTTGCCTCCCCACCCTGTCGTCATGGCGGAGCAGCCTGGTGGCCCTTAGTGATGTCACAAGAGGCTGGAATGAGGGGAGGAGCAGTGCGTGCTGCGTCCCTTCATTGGAGCGCTTGAGCTCTGCGTGAGTAGCTCGCTTGTTGCCCTTGTGCAGCGACTGAGTGCCTTCATTTTCACCCCTTGTGTCTTGTGCAGCATCTTGTAGGTAAGCTGAGACAGCGTGGGATGGACGAGTGGGCAGTGAGCTGTTGAAAACTGCTGGCTGGTGGAGCTCCTAGCAGCTCGTACTGCTTACTCTTGTCCATCAGACGTAACTTTCAGCCAGTACCTGCATTCCCAAGCGATCCACAAAGATGGCA